CCCTGTCCCCGCCGCTGGCCGCGCTCGCGGCCGCGCTCGACGCGCTGCGGGCGCTGGTGGACGAGACGCCGCCCACTGAGCAGTCGCTGCGGTACGGCAACCCGGCGTACCGCACCTGGTTCGCAAAGATGGCGGTCGCGGCGCCGCGCCTCATACAGCAGGTGGGGCCGCGCCTCTCGATCAGATGTAGTGCTGTGCGGCTGGCTCCCGGTGTGTGGAGCCTTGGCGCGCGCCGCGGCTCAGCGCCTGCTCACGTGGACGTTGGGTCTCAGCGGACCTGGGCTGCGGCCTGAAATTGGCACGAAGGAGCTTGCTGCGGCACAACCTGTGATGTCCTTATGTGGTCGGCCCGCACAACCTCTTGAAGCAGCCGGGCCCGGCTCAACAGGTAGCCGCAACGACGGCGCATCGCACTCACGTGCTCCACCGACCCGCCCCCAAATAGTCGGAGCGCCCCCCCCCCCCTCTTGATGCCCCCAGGTGCTGCCGGAGCAGCTCCAGGCGGCGGCCGCGGAGCTGACGCCCTACTTTGTGGATTCCTTCGGCAACTCCACGCGCATCGACTACGGCACCGGCCACGAGACGACGTTTGCGGCGCTGCTGTACTGCCTGGCCGCGCTGGGAGTGGTGGGGGACGAGGACCGGGTTGCATTAGTCAACGTGGTGTTTGAGAAGTGAGCGGCGGGAATGAATCGCACGCGTTTGGGGGGCTCGGCGAGTGTGCGGAGCGGGAGGAGGGCGGGGGCCGGCGGCCTGCTGCTGATTTCGTCTGGCCTCGAGGGCGGGCCGGGGCCGCGCCTGCGGTGGAGCCTGGCTGCGGCGGGCGAGGTCCCGCCGCTGTGCTGGCGCTGGCTCTCCGGTTGCCGGCATGTCTTGATTTGAACGACGCTGTGCTGACTGATGGCCTGCCCGCAAAGCGTTCCGGAGTCGCTTTGCTCCGGCCCTTCCTGCGCTACAATGCGCCGCCCCGATGATGACGTCATGTATTCACCCACCCATCCACCCCAAAAAAGGTACCTGCGTCTGATGCGCACCGTCCAGACGACGTACTGGCTGGAGCCTGCCGGGAGCCACGGGGTGTGGGGCCTGGATGACTACCAGTTCCTGCCCTTTGTGTGGTGAGTCATGGGTGACGGTGGTGGTGGTGTTGTGCATGGCCAGGAGTGGAACGTGTGTGTGTGTGTGTGTGTGTGCCTGTGTCTGTGCGTGTGCACGTCCATGCAGCTTCCCCGCTGTGTCGCACGTCCATCAC